AGCTCAAGCTTATCAAGTGCCCACGGTGAGCTGTGTTACAGAAAAAAAAAGGCTTTAGCGTAATTTCTCAAAACATCAAATTTTAGCTGGTGGGTGTATGTGTGTGTTGGTGTTAATTACATCTGTCTCTCATCCCTGTAAACTTTTCAGTCTATGCTGTAATCATGAAAACAGGGTCTTTCATTTTCCAGGAGGCGCTTAGTGCAATGAGTGAAAATTTTCAAGCGCAGATTGTGGGTACCACATAAGTGCCTGTTTAACTCAAGGCATGTACATCCCTGTGTCATCATCTCTCCCATAGAACTGTATAGTCAAGAAAACATCTGAGAACTTTGAATAAATCTATTTTAATGATCAAAGACAGCATGCATTGCCTAACCTTGAAATAAAATCCACTGGTTTACATTCTTGATTTTCCTGCACTGCATATCTCCTTCAAAGGTTTATGAGATTGGTCCTCTTTTATAAGTCAACATAGTTAGCATGAAGGCTAAAATTAGAAGTCATCAGGTACTTCCCTGTCTAGGAAAATGCATTTGTTACTTTGTAACTTATATAAATCCCACATCAAGAAATTTGCAATTTTTTGACATTTAAAACTGTTTACCTGTAAGTCTTCATTTGTTACTCTGGTAAATAAAGAAACTTAATTTAGCATAATTTCTTCCCTAAGTCAAAAAGAAAGGAAACATAAAGAAAAATAGAAAGGCAGTATAGAGCTTTTGGAGGTAACTGCAGGTGGAGTAGGCAGATAAAAAGATTCTGACAACATATCCATATCTACTTATGGTGTGAAACTAATGGAGACAAAAACAGATTCCTTCTCTCCCCAACTGACCTTGGTGGCAGCTGAGCTGAGACTCGAGGGTAGAAACCCAAATAACCCAGCCATGAAAATAAAAATCAATGCAGGAAGCAGATCTCTTGCCAGAAGGTAGTCCTCCAAGGTCAACAGCCCCGGCCGGCTGGCTATCACATTCAGCTTTCCACCCAGTTGCACAGATGTAGACAAACAGCAGACATGGAAAGAAAAATGCCCACAACAATATTCACTCCATGTCAGATCAGCATTTAGCTTGTTTCTAGAAAGAAGTTGTTTAAAGTTGAATCCATTTTCTGTTCACCTGCTGGGATGCGTTTTTCTTGTAATGATACCACAGCTAAATAGTCCACTCATAGCTTAATTCTTTACCAGTCAGATCAAACTGGCTAGTGAGTCTGACTGAAGAAATAACCATTACCCAGAATAAACTTTTTATTTAGTGTCCTTATTAAATTTGGGAGTGTAGTATGTCATTTATTCTTCCCTTTTGCCTCATTTATAGGTCAGTATTAAAACATGTAATGGTTTCAGACCTAGGTTAGACCGTTTTCAAGGAAGATATGTTGACCATAAACTGTACATTAAAGTGGATAACACATCACCACCTGCTCCCTCTGCACAGAAGTGAAGCCTTAGGTTCTGGTTGAATAGTCTCCTCTGCTTAGGAAGCCTCCTAACTGAGTGAAATGACCCAGAAGTATCTAAGTGGCAGCCTTGACAAGAGGTTGTCGAACTTTCTAAATGCTAAAGAAGGGTTTCCGGTGCTTCCTTCCTTATCTCTTTTAACACGGGAAGAACCATCTTTTGTCAAAAGACAGGTGATAATGCTATCCCACAGTTCCCTCAGGTAGCAGCCTTTCAAAGTTTCATATTATGCAGTTGTCAACAACACCACCATTGCATACGTAGTGTAAGGGGACTTGGAACATCTCAGCATTGTGAATATCTAATGAATTCACCCTTACCTAAACCTCATGACATTTTTCATCAGCATCAAGAAAAACAGTTTAGCTAAAGACTCAGAATGCATTTTTTTTTCACCTCAACTGCAACCTAAATGTTATGCAAATTATAAGAAATTTACAATCAGAATCTGCACAAAAGTAAAAAGTAAAACTGGTGGAGCCCCTGCCTACTGTTGCAATAACAATAAAATAAACTGACCTTTCTCAGCTGGATTTACAAAGTAAAGGTAGCCCCTTTACTCAGCTGTTGCGCAGTTGAATTAGTAAATCTGTCTGAGCTCAGTTACATCTGGTTACACCATTTCTTCGCATTGCTCACTGTACTGACATACACTGGAAACCAAATAGAGCTATTATTAATGATGCACTCCTAATCTTTTCCTGCCTGTTAGCCTGCTGATCAAAACGTGCTGGACTTGCAGAGTGGGGCTACATGTAGCTTTAAAACTGACAGGAATCCAACAGGAGAGAGTGACAGATTTCTCTTAGGCTTAATTACAGTAATCTTGACTTAACGTTTTACTTTGTTGTTTCATTTAAAATTACTATCCATGGATCAGTTTTATGATGTTGGAACAGAAGGTTTTAATTCAGGCAAATTGGCTACAATCTAAACTCAAAGAAATGATGTTGTTAAACAATATTATGTTCTGCTTTAATCACCAGTTTTGCTTCACCCATTGTTTCTCGAGCAATTAACAGCCTCTCGGAGGAAACCTATGGAAGACTCTTAAAACATGATGAGTGAAAGCTTCTGTCACCAGTTATTTCAGTAATTATTGAAGGTCATGTTAAGGCCACAGGAGTAATTAGTTTGGGTTATGGTTAAACTAGAGAAGCAGATCACCTAAATTGAAGGTGGGAATAAGAGGATGGAGTCTGCGTGTAGAAAATAATAGGATTTATTGTGGCGAGAGTCCCAAGGAGATTCCCGCATAAGTATTTGGAGACTTTTATCAGAAAAGAACACCATTCCTACTTATTTACTTAGTAGGAGAAAAAAACACTTTCAAAATCCTGTTTGCTCTTGAGGCACAGGTGCTTGATATTTGTCATGCGTCTATGTGCCCAGTTTACAGAAGCCTCATAAACAGACTAGAATATCTTTCTAGGGAGTGGTTAAGGCAGAGATAGTAATAGTAACATTTCTTTAAAGTGGCTTAATAGACATGGAACTTGACAGAGTTTTGTTAGTGTCATTTAAATTGTCTCTCAAAAAAATGAACTCCAATTTAAAGGCCTGTCCCAATCTACTTGCTTGGTTTCTCTGAAGTACCCGTTTAAAAGTTCATCCAATTTAGTGGTTCGGTTTGTTGGAAGCCTCACAGATAAGGTCAGGGAGCGAGTATTAAATACAGTGTTTAGATTTGTGCAGCGCTTGAGCGTTCACAGCTGTCAGAGCATAAGTAAAGAGAAGACGCTCTCTGTAGCGTGTATCTCTTTTAAAAATGCTCTTCTTCAGGAAAATACATTTTTCATTCATTTGTGATAAAAAAATTGTTTGAATTAATGCAAAAATTATTTAACAACATTACTAACAAATGAATGCCGTATCTATGGTGCTGTTTAACCATACCCTGACAACACGAAATGGATTTCAAAAACCTAATTTCTGGAGGTGAGGCAGGCAACTCACTGAGGTCCAGTGCAGCTTTGTGGAGCACTTGAGCACTCAGCTCTTTTCAGTGAGCTCAGGCCCTTAATTACTTCGTAAAGGTCAAGACGGGCAGCCATGAATATGCTTATCCACCACCATCTTTGGATGCTGCACAGGTGAGCACTCGAAGCTGACAATCAATCATAGGTCACACGGGACAGGCTCCTAAGTTCCTGCTCACCACATCAACCCCATAAACCACGATTTTACAGCAATGGCTGAGTGAGGAGAGACGTCACTCCTCCAGGCTGCAGTGAGTATAATTTCTGATGCGGTGTGGACCTCTTAATTTATATCAGCACATTAGCTTAGCGCTTGAAATAATTTTTGCAGTCAGGTGACAGCTAACAGAAGAATATGGTAATGGGCCAGTATTAGCAGCAGGTTTCCTTACTCTGCCTTGTAATTTCAAAACAAATTCTACTTTTAAAAAACACATACACTGTTGTTCACATGGTATATTGATGTTTCACTGACTACAGCTCCATTTTCAGTGTGAATGCTGAATACAAAGTAAAACCATTTATTACCCATGCCAAAGCATTGCTCAAGAGATGGCACTGTCGACTGTTCTGTCTGTTGCTTGATCCAACGCTTTGGCTCAGTATGACGCAGACTCAACAACAGCTTGATGGCTTGCTTGAGCAGTGGCAGTAGTACACACATTTATGGTTCCTAAATAGTAAATCTAAGGCTCTAGCCACATTGCAAATGCAATAATATCAGATTTTATTTTCAAATAGATTGTAAAATTAATGCACTCTGTCTTGACACTGGATTGGCGGAGGCTTTTGTACAGAAATTCTTCCACAGATGATGACTCTGACTTTGGTGACCCATTGGTATTTACTCCAGTGACATCATGAGGCTGACATTTGTGCTTTAAGGTGAAACACTACAGGAAAAACACATTTTATTCATGTACAGGTCACTTTTGAGTTTTTGCGCTATTTTGCAACCGTAATTCAATTCAATTCAATTCAATTTTACTTGCTCACATAAAGACTAAATTTTCCTTAGTAAATAAAAAGGTTATGCTTTTTATCATAAACAAATATTTAATTCTATGCAATGTAGTGGGAAATACCACAAAGCACATTAAATACACACTGAGAAATAGAGTTATTTTTCTGTTTCACACAAGAGAAAAGATGGTGTTAAGCAACACAGTATATGTGTGTAATATTTGTTAAAGATTCAGAAATGGTCAGAAATTGCTCAAAAAAGACCCGTGGATACATTCCTACTCAAGTGTAAAGTCTGTTACTAGACAGAACCCCAGTTGAATTAACAAGGGAGAGTAAAAGCTTCCCTTTATTCTTGTTGTGTTTACCTAGGAAGACTTGGAAAAGTCCCACATGTGACTTATTGTGATCTGGTCACCCTTTGTGCATGTCTGTTCTACTCAGCAGCCATACCTTACAGGGAATGAAAAAATCTTTTACATTTGTTACTGTTGCAATGGCGTTCTCTTGACGAAACCCAGTATCTGCAGTGCACGGTCTCCTCACGCACACACTTAAAGTTTTTGAAATATCTACAAAAAAATGTCCAGTTCACCAGCGGTTTGATGTTCTAAAGATTTATTTCAGTCCTTCATGTTGGAGTCCCAGATGTTGACACATGGCAGTATTGCATTTTAAAGGTGTTACGTGGACTCCGCTGCTTCTTCTGGCACATTTAAACATGTCAGGCTGTCACGAGGAATGGTGTAATCAGACAGGTTGGGATGTCCGGACACCACACAGCAGCTCAGGGCACTGCGGAAAATCCCCATGTCACATGCTTTAAACCACCGGTTGGTTGAAGCGTCGTAGTACTCAACGTTGAAAGTGGTGGTGAAGCCGTTGAAGCCCCCGACTGCAAAGAGGCGATTATTGATGACCTCAATGCCAAAGTTGCTGCGGCGGGTCAACATAGAGGACACGAGGTTCCACGTATTGGTTTGCGGGTTGTAAGCCTCAGCGGTGCGCAGACGTCTGTTTCCATCGAAGCCACCAACCTAAAAGTAAATGCATGGGTGAAATGACTGACTGTAGTTGAAACCAGTTTCACAGCACCCTTTTAAGAAAGTGCACCTGCTATACTTACGATAGCAGGTGCTCTACGATACTCTAGAAAGTGACTGAAGAATTAAGTTGCAATATTGTCCAAAGTTGCATTAATATGTAGCAGACACAATCAGATGCTGCTTTAGGTGTGGTCTGACTACTGGAAATACTTTGATTGGTTTTACCTGGATAAAGCGAAAAGTTACCCAACATACTCTGGTGCCGTTATATGGAGTTTACATAAAATTTGTTAAAAAAAGAATAAGGCCCATTAACGTTCCACTATTTGCATTCTCCCAGGCCAATCTGTTGGGAATGTCTCGATATATACGGTTGTCTCCATCTAAGCCACCAACCTAAAAGTAAATGCATGGGTAAAATGATTGTGAAGTATTTATATTTTCAGTTGTCTTCACAACTCTTTTGCCTTTATTTCAAAAAGGAGCTTCGAGTTTCAGTCCTTTCAGTCCTTTCTTCAGCAGGTCAGCACCAGGATAAGGTGCATTCCCCTGATAATAATTTTTTCATTTTTGAATAGAGACAGTGTAAATAGAAAATAAATCTTCAAGAGTAGCTAGCTAAATAAAGAAGTATGTCTCCGAAGGTGAGACTACACAATCTTTGCTTTTTACCAAAGGGTATAGCAGCAAATCAACTAAATCAGTGGGTTTAAGGCAACTAGCAAGACAAATTTACAGCTAAAATACATACTGTCCCAAGAGAATGAGTGCTAATCACTTGGCTTATTTTTCAAAAGGTGTTGGAGGATAATTTTGAAATTGTCTCTAACATATTTCCCCTAGTGGAATGATGAGGAAATGTGAAATCATCAGTGAAATCATTTTGGGAATGGAGCAAATTCAAATCATGAAATGAAAAAATACATGCAGCAGAAACATCACTAATCAGTTCAATTAATGAGTGAGAATGCCTTCTCTGAACCTGTGGTCAGGATAGGAATCTGATTATTGATGAATACAAAACAAAGTTAGCAAAACTGCCAAATCTGTCAGCCTTGCTGATCAAGGCACATTACAGATGTGACTTGTATGTTACGTAAGTGTCAGCACTACTTTCTGGTCTTACTGCAAAGACATGATCCGCATATGCAATGACACCTATCCCTCTGCGGCGGCTGTTCATGGGACTGATCATCGTCCACTGGTCGGTCTCTGGGTTGTAACATTCAGCTGTCTGCAGACACTCGTTCCCATTGAATCCACCACAAATGTAAATCTGAAGACAAAGAAAAAAAACAAAAAAACCTGACATTAGTATATATTTCAACTTTTTAAGAGTTGATGTTTTTCCCTACTTGCATGCTATTACATTCTGTGAACTTAAAAGCTTTTTGAAAATCTTTTTCTTTTACATGATCAACATAACAATGAACACTATAAATTCTTCTGATACAGACTGACATTTAGACATGTAGTCCCTGCCTTTCAAAAATAAAAAAAGCTAATTCTTTTAATGACTTTTGTTTTCCTTATCATCACTATTACGGGCATACAGGTAGTTTTACAGGTGTAGTTTTGTTCAATTTAGGCCTTCGTCACTCTAGCTTAGAAACCAATTTGTGAGGTGCCTTGCACCTCGCTTCACTGTAAAAAATGTGTATCCCCTGACTGGTTGGGAAGTGGTACCTGGAGGTTGATGGGTGTCACTAGTGTGAAATTGAAGAAAGGTGTTGCACCACAAACCTCCTTGTGTTTGCTTTGGTCATTAGCAGACTGTTGAGCACACCAGAGGTTTGCATGGAATACTCTGACTTGTCTGCAAACACTCACAAACTATTTGTAGAAGTCAGTGTCTTTCATACAACCACTCCCTAACCAGCCGAGGAATACATATTTTTCACTAGCAACTGGTTGTTACCAAAAGGTTGCTGACAGGTCTCTAGGCCTGTGTGCCTGAGACCCTACTCTATTTCTCTCCTGCTCTTTTACTTTACCCACCCGGCTGTGAAGTGTTGTGCAGCTGGCATCGCTCCTCTGTTCATGCATGGATGCAATAAGACTCCACTGGTTGGTTTCAGGTTGATAGCGCTCTGCACTGCTGAGTCGTACATGCCCGTCGTAGCCTCCCAGGTCATAGATGAACCCGTTCAACACAGTCACGCTCACATAGCAGCGGCGGGAGTCATGGGCGCCACCTCATTCCAGGCGTGAGTGGTCAGGTCAAACCTACGGACGCTGTTGAAATGCTCCACCCCGTCGGAGCCACCAACGGAGTAGACGTACCCGTTGAGGAAGGCGGCTCCATGATAAGCACGAGGACACTCGAGGTTGTTTGTTACGTTGACCCAGCGGTTAGCCCGGCAATCGTAGGCCTCGATGCCGTTAGTTGGCTCACCACCACTCCACCCCCCAATGGCCAGCAGGATGGAATGAGGCAGGCGGGGACGAGCAAGAGGGTGATACAAGGCAGACATGAAGGGTCTGCTTCCTAGATCATGTATGTCTAAGATGGCATTACTTATCATGGACAGGCACTCAGAATTGGCCTCCACCAGCTCACTAGACAGCACATTGTCCTTTAGGTAGTCTGACGTCATCAATCCCAGTCGGACCTATAGAGAGATGACAGAAGAGAATGTGACTATGAATTTCAACTACATCAGTTTTAGTAAACTCAAGCTTCTTTAGGATAATGCTCCTAATGTTGTTTAATTTTCTTATTGCTAGCAAGAGAGCGACCAAGTCAGACACCATTAGCCTTTTCGTCAACAGGGACAGTTTTTAGTCATAGGCCTAGCAACTACACTAAATAAATACAATTTATTCTATAATATGTGTGAGAGTATCTGATACGGTTTTAATGTCTTGAAGAGAATTGCTTAAATGTGGTTTGGCTACACTGAAAAGAGCAACAGCTGAGATATAAAACATCCTTATACCCAGATGGATTGACTCAATCTATGACTTAAATGCTGAAGATTTAAGTCGAAACTAAATGTAGTAATGAAAGTTTATACACCTTGACAACAGAGCGAGTGAGGTGTTGTTCTCCGTTCTGCAGGCACATGGCTAATCCACTTTATAAGTGCTTCGTACGCAGTGCGTCTCACAACTGACATTGAGGTCTCTCTCTTCAAGAGATTCACCAAGTTCCTCCACAGTTAGCTGCAGGAACTCCTCCTGAAGAACACCTGCTCAAAGTTACTGATGATGTAGTGGAAGGCCTTGGACGTAGTTCGGGTGATAAGTACTTTTGTGAACTGCCAAATGCCAACACAGTTCTCTGGGCAAGTTGCTCCCCCAGAAGTCAGCAGATTTTACAATGTCCATTCATTGAATTGATCAGCTGCCATGAGAAGTTCCACTGCGTTTTCCCCCGTTACAGAAACACTGCCGTGTATGCAAAGTCAATGATGAGTGCCATCATCTCAGAGACAAGCCAGGTATGTTGAAGACCTGTTTGTCTGGGTCGCTCCAGGGGTGAAAAGAGCTCTGAGGGTAGAGATGGAGACGGAGCAGAGAATTTTAAAAGGTGTGGAAGCAACAAGATAATAAACCATGTCAAGCACAAGTAGGATAAATATATAAAATCAATTGACTGGAATGGAAATGATCACCTGATTGCATGTGTTACATGTGATTATTGTGATACTTCATGTCTAGTCCATATTGCCGTAGAGGATATAACTCCAAAACAGAGTTTGTACATGTTTAGTGATCTTGAGTGTTGGATTTATTACATGGCAGTATGTATATGAAGCTATTGCCAAACAAATGCAGTGACAGAGCCTCCACCAGTGTTTACAGCTATATCTAGAACACTCATGTTGTACCTCTATGACAAATTTAAGTCAACGCCATAGCCTGTTTCCACTGATCATAGGTCTAGTTATTCGTAATTTGGCATACTCAGCCTGTTTCCTTTCCTTATGGAAGTTCCAGTGCATTTTGCTCAATTACAGTCCCTGTTTCCCTTCCAAACCATTCCTGCTTAATGCTTAATCAAACATATAAACAAATGAACATGAAACACAAAAGAACATTCCTCTGAAAATGTCAGGTATAAGGACTGGACGAAAAGGGTGAAAAATGTCCAAACAAACCTTTATAAGTCTTCCCAGAACTATTGCTCAAGTGTGACTTTTAAAAAATCATCTAATTCAAAGCAAAACATAACACATGAGAGGCAACTCAAAACTTTTGCACAGCTATAACTGATAAAGCGTTCAACCTTTTTAGTATAGTAGAATCTGGTGTGTTTTACTGTGTATAACAGATAAGATATTAATGTAACTTAATAAAACACTTAATTAGACTTCACACAATCACCAAGTGCATTCACAGTGCTTTTTAAATGGCACATTTACTGAGTGGAATCTGGAGCTCTGTGAAGGTAAAATGAAATCTGCAAATGTTTGCTTATGTTTTGGGTATATTGTCAGTTGACTGTGACGTCTTTTATCAAAAAGTATGATTCCTTCTTTTGTTGGCACTGTTTCACAGACTAAGACCATGAATTACATTCACAGGTAACATCACTTCCTTCCTATTATCAGGTAAGCAACTCACCTGAAGTACGGCTCAGTTACACAGGATATCCTGTGGACCGGAAATTCAACATCCTCCACTTTGATGATTGCATCACAAAATTTCCCTCAAAACGGAGGTTATACACCGAGCTCGACTTGTATGGAGGCTGTTCTTCCCTCATCTTGAGTTTTGTGACTGCTTTTCTTATTTTTTTGTCGAGTGTCTAAACATCAGTTTGTCTTAAAGTGTTCTGAGCATCCAAAATCAAACCTAACTGTGGAATTTGGGAATGGAGCTTCCATGACATCAATGACTTGGCAACAGTCTCCATAGAATTGTTTTAAATCTAAATCTACATTTTTTTAAAAAATGAACCTTTCATTGCTAACAAGCTTTGTTTTGATTTGGTGGTTTAATGATTGCAAATGAGCCTCACAGATAGCAACAGCATTTTGTATGTTTGCTCTACAGAGGTCAACTTATGGACTACAATATCATATTTAGCTCAATTTATTTTGTGCAAGCTCATTCACATTGTGTCTTTCATTTTGCGTACTTTCCTACTAAACCTAAAGTATTTTCATTAAAAATATGAGTCTAAAAATACATGGCAGTGCCAAACACAGATATTACAAATTGATTCATGGCTAAGCTGTTTTCTTGGGTTGTATTAGACTCTCTTTT